CCCAATAAACTACCAAAACCAAACCACATAATCAAACTAACAAACTTCCATACTCAGGTCCCTTAGTTCGTCCTCCAAACCCTCTTGGCATTTTTTCAAAATTTCAAAATTTCCAAAATTCTATATAAGCAACCACTAAAACACCCCTACTGGATTGCCAAACAACTTTTTCCCCTTTTCGGAAACACATTAAATGGCTTGGCCGGGCCCGTGTGCGAAATACGCTGCAGTCGGAAAGCGCACGTAAAATCTCCAATATAAGTAAGTAAGTAACCCTCATTCAGTCTTGCTTGACAATGGTGTAAGGATCTATACCGAAACATCGCTTTTTACAGTATTAAAGAAGTTGATATCCATAAATTGTGTTTACTTTGTCAACCTTCAACTTCTAAGTAATGCCTATCAATTTATTTTAATTGGGTTATTACATTTTTCATTGTGTAACCAATATTTTTCCACTCATCTTGTCATCACTCTATTGGGTATTTCCCCAAATTAGTGAACATTTTAAGATTTTTAAAAAAAGAAATAACGTTTTAGATGTACATGTATATAACTGTTCTAATTTTATAGGCTTGACTTGGAAAGTAAATTTTCTCGTAATTGTATTTAGGAAATTAGCTCCTTTGTATGCATGCTGAAAAATCTTCATTAGGTATTTATGCGTGCTGTCTGGTGCGTTCTTCCTTCATGGTCCTCATTTCCGTAAATGAGGGGCAGATCTATAGATGCGGCCATGATGTGGATGGAATATTGTTAAAAACAGCATCAAATTCCCACCAACCTCATGAATGGTAAATTCTCGACTTATTTCACATCAGCAACACATAAACAATAAAAATGACCTGATGTATACAAATTGATTTATAGTTACGCATATACAGTTCTAAAAAAGATTTTGCGAACTCACAGATCCATCATGACCATGAATAACGATAATGTTGACATATTACATCAAGGGATAGGTGATCAAGTCCCTGTGTGTGCAAGTTTGTCACGATTTGCTCCACTGACCCTAAAACTGTAAAACCAGGTTCAGGTATGTAGGTCATATATCGCTATCCCCCCCATCTTCCCTGTAACCCTGTACCTGTAAGGTGGATACATATCCCCCCCCCATCTTCCCTGTCACCCTGTATCTGTAAGGTGGATACATATCCCCCCCCCCCAATCTTTCCTGTAACCCTGTATCTGTAAGGTGGATACATATCCCCCCCCCCCCCCCCAATCTTCCCTGTAACCCTGTATCTGTAAGGTGGATACATATCCCCCCCATCTTCCCTGTAACCCTGTATCTGTAAGGTGGATACATATCCCCCCCCCCCCCAATCTTTCCTGTAATCCTGTATCTGTAAGGTGGATACATATCCCCCCCCCATCTTCCCTGTCACCCTGTATCTGTAAGGTGGATACATATCCCCCCCCCCCCCAATCTTTCCTGTAATCCTGTATCTGTAAGGTGGATACATATCCCCCCCCCATCTTCCCTGTCACCCTGTATCTGTAAGGTGGATACATATCCCCCCCCCCCCCCAATCTTTCCTGTAATCCTGTACCTGTAAGGTGGATACATATCCCCCCCGCCCCCCCCCATCTACCCTGTAACCCTGTATCTGTAAGGTGGATACATATCCCCCCCGCCCCCCCCCATCTTCCCTGTAACCCTGTATCTGTAAGGTGGATACATATCCCCCCCCCCCCCAATCTTTCCTGTAATCCTGTATCTGTAAGGTGGATACATATCCCCCCCGCCCCCCCCCATCTACCCTGTAACCCTGTATCTGTAAGGTGGATACATATCCCCCCCGCCCCCCCCCATCTACCCTGTAACCCTGTATCTGTAAGGTGGATACATATCCCCCCCGCCCCCCCCCATCTACCCTGTAACCCTGTATCTGTAAGGTGGATACATATCCCCCCCGCCCCCCCCCATCTTCCCTGTAACCCTGTATCTGTAAGGTGGATACATATCCCCCCCCCCCCCCCAATCTTTCCTGTAATCCTGTACCTGTAAGGTGGATACATATCCCCCCCCCATCTTCCCTGTCACCCTGTATCTGTAAGGTGGATACATATCCCCCCCCCCCAATCTTTCCTGTAACCCTGTATCTGTAAGGTGGATACATATCCCCCCCCCCCCCCAATCTTCCCTGTAACCCTGTATCTGTAAGGTGGATACATATCCCCCCCCCCAATCTTTCCTGTAATCCTGTATCTGTAAGGTGGATACATATCCCCCCCATCTTCCCTGTAACCCTGTATCTGTAAGGTGGATACATATCCCCCCCCCCAATCTTTCCTGTAATCCTGTACCTGTCAGGTGGATACATATCCCCCCCATCTACCCTGTAACCCTGTATCTGTAAGGTGGATACATATCCCCCCCCCCCCCCAATCTTTCCTGTAATCCTGTACCTGTAAGGTGGATACATATCCCCCCCGCCCCCCCCCATCTACCCTGTAACCCTGTATCTGTAAGGTGGATACATATCCCCCCCGCCCCCCCCCATCTTCCCTGTAACCCTGTATCTGTAAGGTGGATACATATCCCTCCCCATCTTTCCTGTAACCCTGTATCTGTAAGGTGGATACATATCCCCCCCTGCACCCCCCCCCCCCCCCATCTTCCCTGTAACCCTGTATCTGTAAGGTGGATACATATCCCCCCCCATCTTCCCTGTAACCTTGTATCTGTAAGGTGGATACATATCCCCCCCTGCACCCCCCCCCCCCCCCCCCATCTTCCCTGTAACCCTGTATCTGTAAGGTGGATACATATCCCCCCCATCTTCCCTGTAACCCTGTATCTGTAAGGTGGATACATATCCCCCATCTTCCCTGTAACCCTGTATCTGTCAGGTGGATACATATCCCCCATCTTCCCTGTAACCCTGTATCTGTAAGGTGGATACATATCCCCCATCTTTCCTGTAACCCTGTATCTGTAAGGTGGATACATATCCCCCCCATCTTCCCTGTAACCCTGTATCTGTAAGGTGGATACATATCCCCCATCTTCCCTGTAACCCTGTATCTGTCAGGTGGATACATATCCCCCATCTTCCCTGTAACCCTGTATCTGTAAGGTGGATACATATCCCCCATCTTCCCTGTAACCCTGTATCTGTAAGGTGGATACATATCCCCCCCATCTTCCCTGTAACCTTGTATCTGTAAGGTGGATACATATCCCCCCCCCCCCCCCCCCATCTTCCCTGTACCTGTCAGGTGGATACATATCCCCCCCATCTTCCCTGTAACCTTGTATCTGTAAGGTGGATACATATCCCCCCCTGCACCCCCCCCCCCCCCCCCCCATCTTCCCTGTAACCCTGTATCTGTCAGGTGGATACATATCCCTCCCCATCTTTCCTGTAACCCTGTACCTGTAAGGTGGATACATATTCCCCCCCCCCCCCCCCCCCATAACCCTGTACCTGTAAGGTGGATACATATCCCCCCCCCAATCTTCCCTGTACCTGTCAGGTGGATACATATCCCCCCCATCTTACCTGTAACTCTGTACCTATAAGGTTTGATACATATACTCCCCCCCCCCCCCCCCCGCACAATCTTCCCTGTAACCCCGTACCTATTAGGTGCATACATAAGCAGTGTTTCTCTACTCATTCATGTGATGCAATGGTTAAAAATATGGTCATAGATATGCAATTAGAGACAGAAACAAGGATTTATTATTCCAAGGAGGAACTGAAATCAATTTAATGAATAATGCGAATTATGATAATATAATGTTCAACAGCACCACAAAGAAAGTGTCTTATGTTTGGGAATAATCAAGTTCACTGATGCATCTAACGAGCATCCATGTCCAAATCTCAAGATAGAAATGCTCACATCAGTGTTCACATTACACCGTTCACATCACCGCAAATAAAGACTTTATACATTATATGTTATGCTGTAAACGTTCTCTATGCTGGTTCCATAGCCACGTACCCTTAATTTGTATTTAATGTTACATACGTGACAGTTGTGTGTTGCTCATTGTTCAAATACCATAGATCTCCCATATATTGCCAACATCAAGGTGTAACCATATCCAATCTTGACCGGTATAGTTACAAGGGGTACAGGCTAAAACGGCACCTTAGCAAAACATCACCGATTTCTCAGGCTAAAATGGCACCTCATTTGTTTGATGAAAGCGGCACCTCTATTTTTAATAACAATAAGAATGATTTATGTAGAAGTATATATGCTTTATTTACATGTTATGTTGTAGAATATATGATTTATGTACATTGTCATTGTCTTGGACAGTTATTCACTGTTGAATATTGTCTTAAATACAGTTTCAGCTTGACATTGACTTAATTGAGTAAAGGTACTTGAAACTTCAAAGCATGTGATGTTTTCACATTACGTTTTGTTGCGCCTCCCAATCAAGAGTCGGTGAATAAATTGAAAGAGGCTAATTTCTAATGTAAAATTTGTTTAATGTTTCAAAATTATTGATGTTTGCAAGTGACCGTGTGAATTTATTTCAGTACCAAGGTTAAAAAAATAATAAGGTGCCGTTTTCGCCAATCGGTGCCGTTTTAGCTATGAACTCTTTTTTAAACACTGCTAACCACAGGATCGAGGTAGTTTAACTTCGAGTACCCATAGAAAAATACAATTCGCCGTATCCGAAGTAATGAACTTGGTACTGGCCTCACGTTTAATTTGTAATTTTTCATTTCTCTTGTTTATACTTTCTCGATGGACGCACGTTTACAACTTCACAAACATAAACAGCCACAAAGTCACTCGAGCTGGGCCAGCCGACGGGTATATAGCTCTATACCATGTTGGCTTCGTGTGTGAAACCTGTCTGTAGCACTTGTGGCGTCATTTCGCAGTAAAGCGGGTGAATACTATTTTGTCACGTGTGATTTCAGTCACCATCATAAACTACACTATCTTCTTGACACTATAAACCTACTATGAAAATCATGATTGTCTTTACTGACCAAACTATGAAGAAAATAACCTACCGTTCTTGTCGTTCCCGTCTTTATTATCCCTGGTCACGTGATCCGTGGGATGAAAGCGGCAAATTTTACAATTGAATCCGGATTAGCACAAACCGGTTTCATTGCATGACAAACAGGTATACCAGAAAATGACGTGTTGAGTCTCGTATCGGGATAAAGAGGCTATCACTCATTAAAAACATACCTCATGATTCGTAATGAATACTTCATAGTAACTGTTATTTATTAAGAGCAGAGCTTAAAAACTGATAATATACTCGGTTTTACATCCGAAATACACCTGTTAGCGAAAGGATTAGGGGGCTGCGTGTATGTGGGGATAATGCTATTTCTTCATTTTTGTTACCATATATATAACTGCTATTTTTATGACATCGTATACGGCAACTAAAGACACCATTAACTAATAGTATAACACGATAGATGAGAATGCTTAATCACATTCACTAAAATCATACCGTCAGATACAGTAGTTATTCGTGCATAATGAGCATGACGCAAAGGTTATTTCTATTTACGTCAGATGACCGGTGAAGCAAACAGATTCGCCAAGGACTTTAATAGTCTTATGCCCCCTTTTTACTACGACCACGAATATCCCAAATCACCCCGAATCGGAAACTTTCGAAATTCGTGATGATTCGGCCAATAATGCAAACTTTCGTGAAGAATCGGTAGGAGGTACACAGCAGTTACGACAAACTTACGACGACATATTTACGAGTAGTTTGCGAAAATCGGTACTTTTCCAGGGGTAAATGGGTATAGCGAAAACGGCACCTCAGCAAAACGTCACCGGGCGAAAACGGCACCGATTGGCGAAAACGGCACCTCGACTCGAGCGTACGGCACCTTATTTTTTTTTTTACCTTGGTCAAATAAATGATATTAAATTTACATTGTAACTTGCAAGCACCAATAATTGTGAGATGTTAAAACAAGTTTACATTAGATATTAGCCTCTACTCCAACTATAATCCAACTTAGCTTATACGCAACTCAACTTATTGTGAAAACATAACATGCTTTGAAGAAAAATAATAGAAATTAAACTCACATCGTCTCTTACAAACACAACTAATTGTGAAATAAAACAAATAAGAAATTAGCCCCCTACTCCAATTTACTCACCGACTCCGATTGGGAGGCGTAGTTAACTTGTTGTGAAAACACTATAGCTTTGAAGTTTTAAGTACCAATACTCAACTTAAGCTGAAACTGTATTTAAGAGGCCAAACATGATGCCGTCAGATCACAATTATTCACAATGGCCTTTCAATGTGTTGCATGCGAGAAGAATGTCAGAAGAAATCAACATGCTGTATCATGTGAGTGAGTGAGTATGGTTTTACGCCGCTTTTAGCAATATTCCAGCAATATCACGGCGGGGGACACCGGAAATGGGCTTCACACATTGTACCCATGTCGGGAATCGAACCCGGGTCTTCGGCGTGACGAGCCAACGCTTTAACCACTAGGCTACCCGACCGCCCTGTATCATGTGATAACTGTGACCAGTGGACCAATTGAGTATGTGGAACAGGACTTTCTGTGGCTCGTTATAGAGAAATTTGCCGTACTGAAGAAGACTTCCCTTTCCGCTGTGTGAAATGCGTAGGTCCCGTCATTGAAGAGGTGGTCGGCAACTTTGATATCAGTTTCCAGATGCTGAAGGAATGAGAGTAAGACCGTAACAAGTAACTATTTTATTTCAAAGTATTTGCCACACAAAAATGAAATAATAATAATAATAATAATACCAATAATTCATATATAGTAATATATTATCATATTTTTTTATTATTTTTTTAGTTCAATAAGAGATGTCACCATGCTGGAGCCCCCTTCTGCCGACATACCAGAGAATGTCTACACTTTGGTTGAAACAGAGTCTCAGAAGGGCAAAATTATTATGGATCACGTACGTCGTTCGGGTAAATATATTTATACTTGTTTTTAAACACAAACGTTTATTTATGTCTCATAAGCATATAATATATTCTAAATAAGTAAGTATGTCATATTTTCTTTCTTTTGGTGTTTGAAGAGGATGATGATGATGATGATGAAGATGGACATGTATATATGAACATATTTACTGAAAAGAGGAAATACAATGTAAATCACCAATCAAATACTATATTTACTTATATCTCTGAAAAGGGGAAATGTAAATACATCACTAATAAAATACCATGCAAATAAACCCTATATATTACTACAAAAATCGTTGTTATCGTTATTAAAAATGGAGGTGCCGTTTTCGCCCGACTCATAGTAGCCGTTTTCGCCAAATGCGGTGCCGTTTTCGCCAGAGAAATCGGTGCCGTTTTAGCCTGCACCCCTTTTCCAGACACTTTGGCATGTTCTTGGGTCCCGAAAGACTAAAAAGCCCCCGGTCGCTGGCCAACCCCAGTCGCAGTTTGTACTCCAAGCTAGCAACACCTCTCCAGCCTACCAAGCCACCCAAGCCAACCAGCCACCAAGCCAACCTCACCCAGCAAAGCCTCCCAAGCCAGCACAGTTTCACTGATAGCCAGCAGAGGAGGTAATTATCAAAACACACACCCACATTCTCTCTTAAATCTACTCACACCCAAGCCCGCAAATCCACAAAAACACTAAAAATCCTCATAGGTAAACAATAGGATAATCCACAACCCCTAAATAACAATCTCAAAAACCTAAACACATCTCAACAAACCTGCTCAACCAGTACCCACCACCTACTCCCTAAAAACACACCTCTCACTACCAACTCACTCCACACAAACCCACTCACCACATCCACTCCCCTCACCCCACTAGCCACAAAACATGTCCGACTCCCGCACTACTCCCTGGAAACAGGCCCTAGTCATACCAATCCCTAAACCTAATAAACCAGCTAATCAAGCTAACTCATATAGACCAATATCCCTAACTTCAAACTTATGTAAAGTAATGGAATCAATGGCTAAAAATAGATTACAACATTACTTAACCCAAAATAACATCATAAACCCAGATCAAAGCGGTTTCACTCCTGGCCGCTCAACCCTAGATAACCTCACCCGACTAGAACAAGATATTAAGACAGGACAGCTAAATAAACAATATACCACAGGCATCTTCTTAGACTTCTCTAAAGCTTTCGACATGGTATGGCACGATGGGCTAATACAAAAACTTAAAAAAATAGGACTCAAAGGTCAGATAATAAACTACATCCAGGACTTCCTAAACAATCGTAAAATAACCGTGGGTATAGACCAAACTCTATCGGACCAATGTCCCCTAGAAAATGGTACTCCACAGGGCAGTATCCTCAGCCCCACCCTCTTCAATATAATGATAAACGATCTATTCGAGGGCCTATCTCCTAAAGTAAACACATCAAAATTCGCGGATGATGGAGCCATCTGGATCCGCACTAAAAGCATGAACATGGTCCAAAATTTACTCCAAAAATCTCTTAATAAAATACAACAGTGGGCTGACAAATGGGGCTTCTCCCTTAACTCAGAAAAAACAACAGGAATAGTATTCAAACATAAAAACATGAAACCCGCCTCCCCAATCCTCCAGCTAAACAATCAAACAATCAAATTTCAAAAACAAACCAAATTCTTAGGACTTATTTTCGATGAACATCTCACCTGGGATGCTCACATCCAAAACCTAACAACTAAATGCAGTAAAGACCTAAACACCCTAAGATGCCTAACTGGTTCTAACTGGGGAGCATCCAAAGATACCCTCCTCTCTCTCTACATATCACTAATTAGATCAAAACTAGACTACGGCTGCGCCATATACAACACCCTAAACAACTCTCTATCTAAAAAACTTGACTCAATACAATATCAGGCTCTCAAACTAATTACACGCACCCAACATGGCACCTCCTACACCTCACTTCAGGCCTTAACAGGAGAAATGCCACTAAGTCTACGCAGGGAACAGCTAAGCTTAAATTTCTGGGCCGCGTCCCAATCAAACCCTCTCATCCAAAACTTAATAAACCAAAACATCAGCCCCAAAAACCAAGCTCTAGCTCGTAAACACCCCTTACTTACCCCAATATCCCAAAGAATAACAAACTACCTAAATGAACACCAAATTAAAAATCTTAAACAAAACTGCAAACAATCAAATATCTTCACCCCTAAACTTAAAATACCCAAAATAGACACAACACTAGCTAGCCAAATAAATAAACAAACCGACCCAAACATAGCTAAAACTACCACACTAGCATACATACACGAAAATTGGCCAAATTGGTGTCACATTTACACGGACGGATCCTCAGATCCGACCTCCAAACACACAGGTTTCGGAGTCCATACCACACAACCAACTAAAACCACACAATCCTTCCGACTCCCTAACAACCAATCAATATTCACGGCAGAACTAATGGGCATGGCCTCAGCCCTCCATAATCAAGAATCCAAAAACCACAAAAAAATCCTAATACTTACCGACTCCCTAAGTGGACTGCAAGCCCTCCAAAACAAAAATACCAAAAACCGACCTAAATTAATAAATCGAATACTTAAAAGCTCCAACGACCTAACTAAGGCAGGCAAACAAATAACCTTCTTGTGGATACCCGCCCACGTAGGAATATACGGTAATGAAAACGCCGATAAAGCAGCTAAACTATCCCTCAAAATCCCAGAAATAAGCTTAAACTTACCCATCTCAAAATCAGAAATTAAAAGTGTAAACAAGCAAAAAATCACCAAAAAATGGCATAACCTATATCTAAACTCAAATAGCCAAATCAAAAAAGTGCTCAGCAAACCACTAACCAAACCAAAAATTCTCCATCCATCCAAACAAATCGACAGAGTAATCACTAAACTCCAAACAGGACACACCAACCTAAATAACCACCTAAAAAAAATTAAAAAACACACTACAGGTAACTGCCCACACTGCAAACAACCAGAAACCCCAGAACACGCACTCATCCACTGCACACACTACCTAACACATCGAACCGCATTACAAACCACCCTCAATCTAAACAAGGCTCTAACTCTAGAAGCAATACTAAACCCACAAAATAAACTAGAAAACTTCAAGGCCTTAGGCGTATTCTTAATCAAAACGGAACTAATAAAACGCATC